AAAATGTCAGTCTAAGAGCAAGAGCTATGCCCTTTGTTGTCTGTAATACCAACAGTTGAAAAATTATAGAATCATAATCAAATTGCACATACTGGGACTAACCCTAATTTTGCTCCAGATTGATTGAGTGTGCAGGATTTGAGCACTCTCAGAAACCCTTCAGCAATTTAAGGATTTATTTCTGGGAAAGAGTGTGTATGATTTCAGGCCTTGAATCTCCCAGATAGACCCTTTGCTTTCCTTGGTTAAACTACTTTCACATTAACTGAAAGTGCATTTCATTTCCGACACCAAGTCCCTGAGAAAGGAGAGGACGGAAATACATATTAGCATATGCAGAGTATAGAAATGCTTTGAGCTCACATATTCCAGGGGTTATATTTACAGCAAACCTCTGACATTCTATTAATGCATTGATTAATAAAACATTGGTGAGCAGGTTGCCTACGGAGAGGGCTACACATGCTTGTTTATAGTTGACACATCACTCATCATCCCTGAATGGAGAATTTTGACTGTAGAGATGCAGTTCTCCAGCTGCATATGAATGCGGCTGCAGTAGGGAGCCTGCTTATCTGAGGAATGTGCTGCTGGCTGATTTATAATGAAAAGTACCTGAAAAGAGGTGGTTGGTGCCCTTTCACACAATCCGATAAACTGTTACACAGAGATAAACAGTGGCATTGAATTAAGTATGTTTGTCTATTTTTCAATGTTACCTTTTTTTTTTAAGTTTCTTAAGGCTTCATTTTAAATAATGCTAAGTCTCTCTGAATTATGCATAGTCCCACAGTATTAATCATTATAAATTCTACTATGAAGTAAATAAAAATACAAAGACAGTGTATTTAAACATTACACTAATTGATTTTTGATTTGCAATTCTCTAAGATGAAATTAAATGTTACTTAAATATGCCCTGTCAGAGAGCTAAAAGGAAAAATATTTTATATGACATTATCATCAGCCAACTTATTTTTATGGTCTGCATATCTGATTTTTAAATTTATATAACACATGCAGTATAAATAGATCATTTTTTGAGTACAGCACTTAACGATTATCGTGTTGAAGGAAACCTATGGTATGCAAACTTTCAAGATTTTCGCTAATGATGGAAATCGTTGGTAAAAACAGAGATGTATATTTGTCTATAACTCTCTATATAAAAATGTATAAGCATTTGGAATGTTATTTGACAGCAGGGATGATATTTGTTTACAACTAAGGTATATATCCTGGGTATCCAGCTCATAGCCTAGCCTAGTGCACACATAGTAGGTGTTCAATAAATATTTCATAAGTGAATGCGTCTCTGAAGCTTTGAGATAGAATAATGTGCATGTTCCTTATTTAGTATACTCCGGACCAAAAATTTAAGAAGTAAATGTAGGTCAGTTCGGGTCCACATCTCTTCTGGTTTCCTAGATGCCAGTCTCAGTTGCAATATTCAAATACAAAGGTGGCATTTTTTTCTTGCATAATACAAAGTCATTACTATAATTCTACCAGTTGGTTAACCATATGATCAAAGAGTGCAATAAGGGAAAAGCATCAGATGTGACCATGCAGGTAATAAAGGAAAAATAATGCATTTCTCTTATTTAATTCCCATTCCTCATGCCATAAATAGTAAAGAGCCATGTGCAAACATAGAGGTCATGGATGTCTATATTCCTTCAAGAAACATTCATTGAATTCTTCTACTATGTCAGAATCCAGACACACAAAGAGAAATAAAACACAGTCTTTGCCTGTGAAATAGGTAGACTAATAGACACTGTTGCTTTCTTTATCATTTTTGTTCATATAATTTTCATCTCTTTAGGAATTTGGTGGCGGGCTTTGTTCATCTGTTCCTTCCCTATTTGAAGAACAGGACAAAGATCCAGTTTGGAAGTGAGAGACTGTTACTTTCCGTGTAATGCAATGTTTCTCATTTCAAGTCTGTTTTGTCTAGGAGCCCTTTCCCAGCAGGGAATTAAGTTTTCCATAGACTAGAAGGTAATCTTTACTCTTTGAGTAGCCAAACTTTCCTTACATTTAAAAGATGTCTATACCTTTTGCAAAGATACATGGTAAGCCCATGATGATAGCCTTCTTTTAATTAGCTATTTTCTTTTACTAGGCACATAAAACAATTATTTTATAGAGAAATGTCTGCATTTTTATCATCAGCAATAATGATCACAGTGTCTTTTGCCTTCCATGGCAGTTTTGCTTCAAAGGGAATTCCACATAAAGATAAAAGAGACCAGAAATTGATATGAAACAAAAAAAAATGTACCACAGTATCAACTTTTTAAAAAATTATTATTATTAGACTTTCTGGGGCCCTGTGGCAGATCTCCCAGGGAGGCTCTGAGTTAATACTGAACATTCCAATGTCTGCTGCCTCAGTGCTGAGATTCACACCTAAACAAAGAAACAAAACAGCCCAGCTGACTGTGTAGCTCAGGAAAACTGCCCATCATTTGCTGCATGTGAAAAAAACAGAAAGCAAGTGGAAATCTAGGTTTTAAAGGGCACTGCTAATATGAAAAGGGAGAAATGTCAAAAATGTTGAAGTAAACACTGGACTAGCTCCTGTCTTGCTTGTTTCCTTGAGTTCTTTTCTTCCTTGGCACTTGAAAAATTCTAAATGCTGTGTCATTTCATTAATTCCCAATGAGCACATAAGAAAACAAGCATAAATCAAAATAGCAATAGCAAATATTTCCTGAACAAACTACAACAGGAATATAGAGCCAGAAATCAACAATTTGATTGAGGAAGGGAGATAGGACAGAATACTTGGTCCTTCCTGGTAGTAACTGTTGCGTCTTAAATGATAAGTAGGTGTTTGCCGGAGAAATCAGTATAGGACATTCTTGGCAAAAGGGAACAGCATGAGCAAAAGCAAGGAGTCATCAACATCCTGAACGTCTACTGACTGCACATAGTTCAATAGCTTTAGAGCTAGCCAGGGACAAGATCATAAAGCACTGAGAAGAGATTTATAATGAGTTAATTCTTAAACCTGTGGGCAAAGGAAAGCCAGTAAACATTGATAGAAGATAGGCTACACTGAATAGTAACTGAGATTGTGTATTAGAGTGTCTTGCTCAATGAGACATCATTCAAATTGCTAATATTTGTGAATTTATCTGAAAGCACATGGGTGGTATGGCGTTTAGGTATCTTGATTGGGTCTTGGAACAGCTATGAGAGCCCTTCCTTCATAAAACCTTCCAACACACAATCATTCTTGAAAGTTGGAGAGCAGACAGGCATGCTGAACTGCACATACAAGGGCATGTGGCTGAAACCTGTCAGAAAAATGCACTAGGAGCCTGATGTGGTCACATCCCTCACTTGACTCTGAAAATAATAAGCTCATCTGATCTAAGGGGATGGAAGTAAGCAAGCAGTGTAAATGTGCTGACCAAGTGTTTGCTCTATTGCTAGAAAGCTGAGTGTTAAAGAATTCAACAGCAGGTACATGGGTTCATGTGTGCACGCAACTAGAGTGCTCCACTCCAAAGTTTTGGAAAGCTCCCTAAAAAGATCCCAGACTACTGTCAAAAACATGATCCTCACAGCAAGGCTTTGCCTGATTCCCAGTAGATCAATCTGTTCTAGCCTAGAATGTAAAAGGATGCTTAATTTATGGAACTGTCCTAAGCCAGAGTCTACTGTGTTCACTCCAGCACTAGCATTCATTGTACTCCCTAAGATACGAGGACCAAATGAGGCATTGCCTCACTCTGGATAGGGGAGGCAGCCAGCAGCAATCAGACTTGCCCCATCATCTGTAGTTGTACAGGTTATGCAACAGTAAGTTGAGAAATCATGTACTTATAAAGTGGGTATTTTTTCTTAATGCTCCAAACGGTGCTCTGGGGGGTGGTAGCAGCTCTCTATGAATTTATTGCTGGGGTCCTGCTACAAATTACAAGACCTCAGCATAGGTGGGAATAAGGAATAAGTGGTAGCTTTAGGAGATGTTAAGTGGTTAGATTCTGCAGGGCTTAGTGGCTAATTGCAAGACGGTAGCAGGGGGTGAAGTGGGAGGACTCTAGGGTGCAGGTTTCTGGCTTGAGAGCCTGGAAAAAGAGAAAATCCACAGGTAGCCCATGAGGTGTCTTGAGAGAGTGTGGGTAAAGCTGTTTAGCAGGCAGTTGACCTGAGAAGACTGGAGCTCATTTAAGTTTTAGCTGACACTATAAAAATAGATTAGTTGACCCAGGAAGGGGTAGTGGGAGGATGGTGGAAGGCAGGTGTTAAACAATGGAATTTGAGATGTTGTCAAGATGAAGCATGAGAACAGAAACCTAGAAAGTTGAAATAGGTAGAGAATAGGCAAGATTTCAAGTAAGGTCAAGTAAAATGAGGACTACAGTGAGTTTATAGTTTACTCAATTTAGAAACTAGTAGACAAGTAGCAGCTTTTTCCACAACTCCTTTGTTAGAGCAGTTGAGGGAAAATCTTAATCTCAATGGGCCAGGAGAGTTCATCTATCAAGGGAAGTACAGAGGTGCGGGGGTAGAAATGCAGAAATGGCAACAGAGTTCATTGTGTTTTGTTGTGTTTTAAATGGAAAAGAGAAAAGTCTATAAAAAAAGGTTGGTTTACAAATGCAGCTGAAAGAGAAGGAATATAAACTCACATCCACGTTGCTGCCTACCAAAAACAAAGTAAATGACTCAGAGAGAGTAGTGGACTTGGCTTTAGAAAGAAAGGGAGTCCAAACCCAACCTGCAATAAGTACACTTCATCAGGTCACCTCTCTGACGCTCTGTGCTCATTTCTGTGAGATGGGACCACTAGAACCTACATCATGGAGTGCATAAGGATGGGGTGAGAATACCTGTGGGAGAGTGCCTGGTGCCGTGGTGTACTGTGTGTGTAGTAAATGGTTTTCTGAGTCATCCCATTAAAGGTCTGATTGGGCATGATGATGTAATCACTGTTGCTTTCTTTACCATTTTTGTTCATAAAATTTTTATCTCCTTAGGAATGTGGTGACAGGCTCTATTAGTCTGTTCCTCCTTTATTTGAAGGACAGGCCAAAGAGCCAGTTTGGAAATGAGAGAGGACTAGCATGACACATTGGCTTCACCATTGATATCTCCCAGAGGTACAGAAACAGGATTCATGAAGATGTTGACAAGACTCCAAGTTCTTACCTTAGCTTTGTTTTCAAAGGGATTTTTACTCTCTTTAGGGGACCATAACTTTCTAAGGAGAGAGATTAAAATAGAAGGTGACCTTGTTTTAGGTGGGCTATTTCCTATTAATGAAAAAGGCACTGGAACTGAAGAATGTGGGCGAATAAATGAAGATCGAGGAATCCAACGCCTGGAAGCCATGTTGTTTGCTATTGATGAAATCAACAAAGATGATTACTTGCTACCAGGAGTGAAGCTGGGTGTTCACATTTTGGATACATGTTCAAGGGATACCTATGCATTGGAGCAGTCACTGGAGTTTGTCCGGGCATCTTTAACAAAAGTGGATGAAGCAGAGTATATGTGTCCTGATGGATCCTATGCCATTCAAGAAAACATCCCACTGCTCATTGCAGGGGTCATTGGTGGCTCTTACAGCAGTGTTTCCATACAGGTAAGATTGGCTAATCCTATTGCTAAAAGGCTGTGTCTCTTTACTTTCATGTTTTGGGGGAACAAAAGGAGAATATTGTAATAACCTCATCAATGATTATATCAACAATGCAATTATTAATTTTTCTGGTTATTTGATAATATAGGTTTGAACATATTTTTCTACCAATTAAAATTGTTTAGAAGCATATCAGGTAGCTATTGCAACATTAAACACTTCCCCAAAATTCAGTATTTCAAATAAGAATATCATTGATTAGTTTATGAGTCTAAAGATCTGATGCTGTGAACTAATGGAGGCTGGGTTTCACTGAGGGTGGCTGTGCTCCAGATTATCTCTTATCCTCCTGGAATCAATCACCTAGCCCGGGAATGTTCCTCTCTGAGTGATGGCAGAGGGGCAAGAGAATGCACACTCAGCTGCACAAAACTCTTTCAAGTTTCTGCTTGCTTCCCACCTGCTAACATCCCATTAGCCAAAGCAACTCACAGGGCTCAGCCCAGAATGAAGGAGCTGGTAAGTATGCCCTGCCCACGGGACAAGTGCTGCAGTTACATAACAGAGTGTCAAGGTAAGATGAAATAATAATTTGAATCCATGGATGTAATCAAACACAAGGAGGTATAATGTTTTCCCCTCTTATTTTTACTAAGGCATTTTTTTGTTTAGAGATAAAATATAAATAATTTCTCAGGATATAAGTCTAAAAATATATGCAGAGGAGCCAGAAGATTACTACCATTAAAAGAAAGGAAACATTTAGCACATAACTTAAGCTAGATATAAAGCTAATAATTGTTGTCATATACAAACTCTTCCAATCCTTAATTACAGAGTTACCAAATTTTATTGAGGTAAATAAGTGAGAAATCATCTAGCTCAACTTTGTCATTTTACCAATCCCCAGAAAGACTGGTTTCATGAAAACTCCTACTGGGAGGTAGCACAAGAACTAGAACTCAGATAGATCTTTGATACTTCTGTGCTGTTTTAACTACCCCATATGATTTTTACATGTTACTTTACACTTAGTATTTTTTCTGAGAGCACTAATGTCACAGTAATAAAAGCCCATGATTCTAAGAGTCATACACTTTGCCTACCACCAAATTACTACAAATCAAAGCCCCAAGCATTGAAAGAAACTATACTGCACTCATGTTGTCTTTTTATGTCACGAACCACTTAAATTGGCTACATTTGCATTGTAATAATGTTCTTTCTCTATCTCACGTTTGTGGCATTTAAATTCTAGGCATAGGCTGGGGTCAGTGGCTCACACCTGTAATCCCAGCACTTTGGGAGGCCAAGGCAGACAGATTACCCGAGGTAAAGAGTTTGAGACCAGCTTGGCCAACATGGTGAAACCCTGTCTCTACCAAAAATACAAAACATTAGCCAGGCATAGTGGTGCACACCTGTGTTCCAGCTACTTGGGAGGCTGAGGCAGGACGATCACTTGAACATGGGGGACAGAGGTTGCAGTGAGCCAAGATTGGGCCACAGCCATCTAGCCTGGGGTGACTGCGGAGAGTTCATCTCAAAAAAATTATAAATAGCAATAAATAAATACATATATATATATATATATAAAAAACAAAATTCTAGGTACAATTTTGTGTGGTTCTCTATTAGCTATTCCAAATTTATTTCTTTCTTCAGATTATACCATCATATTATAAGTAATTAGGATAACTGGTTTTATATAAATGTGCTTAGATTTCACTAGATAGAGAGAAAATATTGCCCATATGAAAGGACATTATGTTAATTTTGCCACTCTTTCTATACTTGGATTAGGAGAGATGAAAATTGCTGTTTTATTTGAGAAAAGAAAACATATATATATATACATATATAAAAAGTATGACAGATTTCATATATGTATATATATAGTCTGTCATACTTCAATCATAATTTCACCAGATGAATGCCAGTCATTTCACAAATTTATATTATACCCAATATTACCAATAGTAAGGGCTTATATATATGTGCTTTTTCTCACCTTAGTTTCTCCTAGTGCAATAAATAGTAGCAGATGTGTAAATTTCTCATTTATCCAAAGTAATTGAGAAACTGTGCCTTGCAAAAGGCCTTTTTACAATCGAATTGTACTCTGTTACTACCTTATGTACTGCTTGAAAGAAGTCAGACTAGTTCTGAGGAAAAACTGTGGGCCACGAAAACCCTGTACTAGTTAGTTCTTAAGAGCAGAAGACACTTCTTACTCATTGAAGGACCTACCTTATTACTTCATTTATCTGGTCAATATCACCATGAAGTCACAAATGCTGATAAGGTTCTTATCTCTACAGTATACATGAAAAACCCAAAACCAAAAAATGTACCAGCCAAATGGAGAGCAAAAATAAATAAATAAACAAAAAGCAGGAGTTGCAATTCTCACATTTGATAAAATAGATTTCAAAGCAACAAAGATACAGTGGTAAAAGGATCAATGCAACAATAAGAGATCTTAATACCCAGATACATAAGACCCATAACAAGATTTAGACTCAACGAGACAGAAAATTAATAAGGATATCCAGGACTTCAACTCAGATCCGGAACAAGTAAACTCAATAAGTATTTATAGAGTTCTCCATTTTAAATACACAAAATATTGATCGGCCATTATTAATATCCATTTTTAGAATGAAGCAATATTCCTGTTCTCTCTCCCTCTTTTTCTTCCTCTTTCTTCCTCTCCTTCTCTCCTTTTTTTACTTTTCAACATCCTAGTTCCTCACCTCTACTCAATACATTCCTCTGAACACCTGATTCCTTGTGATTCTCCCGTCCCACTGAAACCTCCAATCCATTAAAAAAAAAAAAAGTGGTCATGAGATCAAGAAGATTGAAAAGTGTTGCACCGTGTCATGCTATAGGCCTTTAATATTTAAAATGATAGAAAAAAGTTTCTTTGTACAGATGCCTCCCTAAAAGTTTTTAAGATTGCCAAAATATGTCCTAATTAGTGTTTTTGGTCAGCATGTGTTCAGGCAGCCCCAACCCTATGATCATACGTACAAAGAAAAAGGTTCCCTTAAAATAAAATGCCTTAAATTATAGGTAGGTCCAAAAGCACTCTAATCAATTGAGGGGCAAAATCTAGGAAGAGAGCTCTACCTACCTTAAATGATTTCAAACCAAGGCCTCTGCCGATGCTCAGGGAATGATGATGTCTCACTAGTAAAAATAAGTGGCAAAACAAACATATTCCCTGATAGCTAAAGTCAAGGAAGTGTTTGCAATTAGTAACAAGAATTATCCTTGACATTAGAGAGAACATGGAAAACACCTACATCCAGTTACTTACCTGTCATGCTTTATGACATCTGTTCAATTAAAAAGCAACTTTTTCATTAGGATAGATCCTCATATTTGAAGCTGGTATTAAACCTTTGGTAAACCAGTCATTTAGCTTGAGAGAGGACAGTAAAAAACGAAAGTAGTTGCTCACAAAAAAAAAAGAAAAAGCCAAAACTATAATGCTAGGATGGAAAAAGTACAGATTTTGGCATCAGAAAGACCTGGGTTTGAATTCCAACCCCACCGTTTACTGGTTAAGCTGTAAAATGAAGAAAATAACATCTACCTCAAAAAGTTGGTGAGAGGGTAAATCAAGAAAATCTGTGGGAAATGCCTCACCAAAAACTGACAGATTCAATAAATGGTAACTTTATGTCCCTAAAATTGTAGGAAAGGTCAGTGGAAAGCCAGTGCCTGAAGCCAATTCTGTGGTCTTCTCTGGTGGCCAAGCAGTCCCATGAAGTCATTGCTAGTTTTCCACATGGTGAATCAGCAAGTCAGTGAGTATAAGCTCCTACTGTGTGCACTGCACTATGACAGGAGTTAGAGAGAACACTAAAGTCATATAGAACACAGACCTGATCTCAGGAAACTTAAAATCTGGCTAAAGGAACAATGTGCTCTGAAATAACAGTGACCATAATTCTTCCTGTAGCTCACAAAGTAAGAAATGACCTTTAGAAAGGTTTGAGGATGAGTAAGAATGAAGGTTGCATTGCAGAAAGGCTAACAGGGTGACAGTGTAAATGAGATGCTGGATCTGAGGAGGTCAATCAGAAAATTGTGGGAGATGTCATGAATAAGGGGATAATAACCTTGACATGAGTAAGAAGGGACAGGAGAGAGGGCTCCATTTCCTCCTCCATGGCTCCCGCGTTTCCTGACTACTCAGACTCTGATTAGGCCACAGACTCATCTGGACCAAGTCAAGCCAGGAGCTGGAGCAATTAGTCTATATACCAACCCCCAGGCAGCCTTCCAAGGAACCCCTCCATACAGGGTCTTGCGTTCAGCTAGGCTTCATGAATCATAAGAGGTGTTAGGCAGCAGTTCCATAGCTAATAATTAAAGTATATTATTCCTTTGAAACATATATGTCCTTTAATAAGAATTCTAAAAAACATAGTCAATGGTAATCCAAAGCCATAAATTCCTAATGGTGAATTTAAGGTCATCTTGTACACTAATGAGGGAAACATTTTTGGAGAGAGGATCTCTCTGGGTACCTCTCATACTCACATGATCCTGCTCCTGTGACCGATTCTGGTCATACACCTGGTGTGTGGTAACCGTGGTGACAGTGTGCAGCCTGTAGCATTGCCATCAATTTTTAACTACTTTTGACTTCCTGCATATGTACTGGAAATTGTCTTTTCTTGAACTGAACAGGGGGGGAAAAAGAGGGTGGAAGGAATAAATGAGTATGAACCTGTCACATAATTTTTTAAATTCCTACTGTCTAATTATAACATCTCATCCCAAACCAGAGCCCAGGGTTTTCCATTACACAATTGCCTGTTGAGAGAGAACTTTAGAGAATGACAGCATTTGTGCATCTTCCCTTTTGCGATTGGGTCAGTTTAGACATTGCTATCTTCCCATTAGGGCCTGGATTCCTTTCTCTGCTGAATTGCCTCAGGAGGTGCTTTCCCTCCAGCTTCCTCTTCTTTTCTTTTCTTCTAACT